TATCTTTCTTGATAAATATGGAAACAATACAACCACAAACTTCAACTTATGAGATGGGCGAATGAGTTAAATATATCACCGTTTTATTATTGTATGAGAGATGAAATAAATAATCTCAAATATAAGAAGGTAAATTTTATGCTATAACAAATATACATACTTGTATAGATTAGAACCCACTGAGGGATAATGAAATTAACTATTAAACCAATCAAATGTTCTACATTTCAAATTCAAATACCGGGACAAAAGTTTTGTGGACAGCTTTCACTTTGGGTTTTATATCAGTTGAGTTTAGGAAAACAGTTTGAAGAAATTGTAATAAATTTAACTTAATAAAAATGGCGAACAAGTTTGGATTAGTTTCTTTATCTTTAGAAACTAAAAAACCTAACGCTACAGCATTGATAAATAAAGCGAAACCTTACTTTGTGGATCAAATCGGAGACACTCTTAAAGGTGATTTAGATATGAACAATTTCAAAGTAACTAATTTAAAATCTCCGGAAAATGATAATGATGCTGTTCACAAGAAATATTTACTGAATCAAATAAATTCAATTGAAGTAAATAAAAACCATTTAGAAGATAGAATAAGTAATTTGAAAAGATTCTTCAAACGTCAACAAAAAATTTTTGTTAATGATACTAAACTACAACAAGAGGTAGAAGGTTTAATAAGTTTTATTCAAAAACAATTGGTCAACGTAGTGAACAAAGCTGAGTTACAAAATTTAATTTCATTAATATCTAAATTAGATGATAAGATTGCAAAACAAAAATTAGACATTCAACAATTAATAGATAACATTCCAGATGAAAATGAAGATACGTTTCCACAGGAATTAAATGCTCTGGAAACTAAACTTAACAGTGAATTACAAAAAGAACTAACAAATATTAAACAACAAATAAAAAACATTGATGATAACGAAATCAAAACCTATATTCAACAACAAATACAAAATATTGATGATAGTGTTATTCAACAACAGATAACCACTATTAATAACAAAGTTTTAAAACAGGAAAAAAATATAGCAGAATTAGAAAAACATCTCAAGGAAGAAAATAAATCATCTTATTTCAATCTTCATTTTGGAAGTTTGACTCATAAAGATATTATTCTATTACTGAATATATTGATAGATCAATAGAGTTTGAATTTAAAAAATATGGATTTATAACAAATATAAAAAAATTTGTTGATGGAGATTGTGATCCACCTCAAGACATTTTTGATAATGGATCACATTATACTTTCCGAGGCAAACTTCTAATTGAAATTATTTTTCCTATGCAAGTAAAAGGTGATTAATAATTGAACGTAATGGTAGCATAGAAGTTGGAGGTACATATACCTGTAGATGTACGATAAAAATCAATATGAAAAACCAAAATTTTCAGTTCATCTGAATAAGATTAATGATTCGAAAGAACAAATATCGTTAGTAACTTAAAAGTTTTTATTATTAAACCTGAAATAATTATAACAGATAATGAAAAAATACTGCATGGTGGACATCTTACTGGGCAAGCAAGCTTAATAAATTATTAATATTGAAGAATTAGAAGAATTCAATGAAATTTTGATAAATTTGATGTAGAAATATCATCAATAAAAGTGAAAAATCCTAGTTAAAAAATAGATACTTAAAAAATATGAATAAAATTGAAATTTTAGACGATAAAACATTCATATCAAATGTGCTTTTTATATGCCCACATGAATATATTGTCGTCGTCGCCCCTGTCCGTCGGTCCGTCCGTCAACATTTCTTGTGAGCACTATAGAGACTACAGTTTTCATCTGATTTTGATAAAACTTGGTGTAATGCTTTAGATTGATAAGATCTCGGTCAATTTAGAATTTGACATATTTTCGATGAATGGTGGGAGCCGCGGTGGCTCAGTGAGTTAGACGCTTGCTCGCTAACCTGAAGGTCCAGGGTTCAATCCTGGCATAGGTCGAGATAATACCTACGGATTTTTCAACGCGGTTTCCCCCTGTCAGTGATGCAGGTACGAGGGGCTGACATGGAACAAGCGTCTAGTCGTTCGGATGGGACAATAAACCGAGGCCCCGTGTGCTACAGGCTGTGTTAAAGATCCCTCGACAGTTGGAAATCGAAAAAAAGGTTTTTTAGTTATTGCCCTTGACTTTGTAAAAACGCATCAAAATTTGTTACAAATAGTTCGTGAGCAGGATTGAAGCTACAGTTTTCAACCGATTCTGATGAAACTTGGTGTGATCATTGGAATTGATAAGATCTCGAACAGGTTCTAACTAGACGCATTTTCGATGAACGGTTTTTGAGTTATTGCCCTTGACTTTGTTAAAATGCGTCGAAATTTGTTAAAAATAATTTGTGAGCAGGATTGAAGCTACAGTTTTCAACCGATTCTGATGAAACTTGGTGTGATCATTGGAATTGATAAGATCTCTAACTAGACGCATTTTCCATGAACGGTTTTTGAGTTATTGCCCTTGACTTTGTAAAAACACGTCAAAATTTGTTTGCGAGCAGGATTGACGCTACAGTTTTCAACCGATTCTGATGAAACTTGATAAGATCTCGGACAAGTTCTAACTTGACGCATTTTCAATGAAATGTTTTTGAGTTATTGCCATTAACTTATGAAAAACGTGTCAAAATTTGTTTTTGAGCACAATAGAAGCTACAGTTTTCAACCGATTTTGATTGATAAGATCTCGGACAAGTTCTAACAAGAGATATTTTTGATGAACATTTTTTGAGTTATTGCCCTTGACTTTGTAAACACGCGTCAAAAGTTGTTTTTTGCCCTTGATTAGAGCTGTGTGATTTAATTGTTTGTTGTATTTGGGTTATTGATATTAATTTTAAAAATTTTGTGGAATTATTCAGCATAAATAATTTCTTCAATATGAGAAAATTCGTACTTTAGTCACTAAAGACTGTTTTATTATTTCTGACAGCTGCCAGTGGGCGTATGTTATCTTGCATCGCAAGCTATCTTTTCTAATGTTGTTAAGGCTATCTCTTTATAACATTTAAAGGGCAAATTGAATTAGATGGAAAGATAATTCATGATGGAGGACACAAACAAAACATGGCTTTAATGCCGAAACTTTTCACAATTTCTTCGCAACAGTGGATGTAAAATCAGATGCTTCTGATTGGTATTTCACAGGAAAAATCATTTTACGTCAAAACAATTTCAAAGAAATAAAAAGATCAAAAAAGGGTAGTGGTACCACCCTACTCAAAAAGATCAATGAATATGCCGGTATAAATTGTTATATACCGAGCGATGGATGCTGTTTTATAAAGTGCGTAAATCGTGTTTAAAAAAGACTACACAAAAGAATTTCAAGATTTCATCAACAGTTTTTCAAATTCAAACAGAAAAGGAGTTATGACAACTGCTAGAATCTGTGAATTCAATAAGAAATTTAATACTTATTTTCAAATTTATATGCACAATAATAGACATTTTCAACCAAAGAAAGTATCCGAGGAATTAGATTGGGTATTTTACTTACATAAATCACATTTCTGTCTCATAAGAAGAAATAAAACCTTAGGCATTAAAGAATTAGAAGATAAATTACGATGAAAATGTATGGAGAACTTGTAGAGATGATAATGCGGTAACACAAGTTTCACCTCTAAAACTAAATGTTTTTCCAACAATTCACGCATGGGATTGCGAAATCTATAGCGAAAAAGAAATGAATAAAGCAATTCCTTATTCTTGCACATAAATAAATTTAGAAAAACTAAGAAAAATGTTAGACAGATTAAAACATAACTTTCCAACTAATTGATTCACCGATGAATATAAAAAATGGGAAAGACAAAAACAAATAATTGGCAACTCTAATTATCTGCAAAATATTAATTTCATATGTTCCTATCAACATGAAAAATCTAGTTTGGCGGCGTGGGGAAATTCATCTTATATACCAATGAATTTGAGAAAGATCACTGATATCAATATTGCAAAATACACTAAAGATAATTGGGAATCTTTAAGACACAAATAGGAACCTTATGCTAAAAGAGATACGTTATGTCTTGGAGCTTGTTTGATAAAATATAACCAAGTTATGAAAGAAGTTGTATTCCAGAACATTTCCAATAATCTAACGGCTCCTTTATCTTTAAAGGGTTAGTATTATTTGTAAAGAAATGGTTGAAGAAGAATGGTATGAAACTACTAGAATGGTTCCAAAACACACTGAAAAAGAAAATATAGAAAAAGTTTACTCACATATACACCCTTTTTATACGCCCACATGAAATGGAAAAATAGAAAAATATTTAGTATGAGTTATTGCCCTTGTTCTTGAAAACGTAAACACTCTAGAAGGCACAATTCAAGACGGATGTTGATGAAACTTGGTGTGAGAGTTCGTAATCACTCAAGGATGAACCCTATTTAAAATCAGAAGAATCAAAAAATATTAAGTATGAGTTATTGCCCTTGTTCTTGAAAACGCGTTCAATTTTTAGCTTGTAAACACTCTAGAAGGGACAATTCTTGACGGATTTTGACCAAACTTGGCATGAGTGTTTGTTATCACCCAAGGATAAACCCTATTCAAAATCAAAAAATAATTAGTATAAGTTTTTGCCCTTGCTATTGGTAACGCGTTCAATTTTTAGCTCGTAATCACTCTAGAAGGCACAATTCTTGACAGATTTTGATGAAACTTGATGTTCGTTATCACCCAAGGATGAACCCTATTGAAAAATATTTAGTATGAGTTATTGCCCTTGTTCTGGAAAACGCTTTAAAAATTTAGCTCTTAAACACTAAAAGGCATGATTTTTACTGGATTTTGACAAAACTTGGTTTTATTATTCAGTTCTGAAGATTGAATATTTGCCTTCTAGAGTTTTCACGAGCTAAAAATTGATCAATATTATTCAGTATCGCCCTAAAGAGTTCAAAAGAAGTGTATGACTAAAGGTTGAATATTTCATACTGGTGATTGTTACTGTACTGCTAAATATTTTCATTCAAAATCAAAGCTGCCATTAGACAATCCATTAAAGGAGGAAGAGTCTCTGCTAACAGAAAATCGTTTGAAACGAATAAAATAGATGAAATTTGTAATGTATTAAAGGAATTTATTTCACAAAGTGAAACACGAAATATAATTGATTTATTTAAAGAATATAGTGAAAGTAATAGAGATAAAACGGAAGTTAATTCAAAAATTAAAAAAATAAAATGTACAAAACTAATGGCATTCGACGCTAACGGTTTATATGCCTCCGCCATGTCGGATTTAGACAGCGAATATCCGAGAGCTGAAAGTGGAAGGCCGTTTCTAAAATAAAGAATTTGTTAAGCTCTTTAATGAACAGAAATTGAGACCTAGAACGGCTATTTTAAAAGTCTGGTTGGAATATCCTACTAACATGTGTTCTTCCAACCCATACCAGCTAAAGATAAAATTACTTTTACGAACAAAGAAGGTAATAAGGAAACTGGTACTAAAATCAGGTTTAGAAATGGTTTCTGTTCAGATGTTTTAACATCGGTCGATATTCAAGAAATAGTGAAATCCGGTGGTAAAATTATTAGAATATTAGATGGTATAGTATAAGAAGAAAATTGTAAATCTCCACCATATAGAGATTATATTTTAATTTTAAGATATCTTAGGAATAAATATAAACGAGAAGGTAATATTGTGGGTAGTAACTGCATGAAATTATTTGGTAATTCCTTGTATGGTTAATCTATTCAGAAGGATATAACTACATCGAGACATCTATGGAGTGAAGCAACTTTAAAAACCGACTTCGATTCACACGTCAAAAGCTATCCTAAAGTAAATGAGAATCAATATATCGTTGAGATAAATGAAGAAGAAAAAGAATTTGACTGTATACCTCCTAAATCTACACGACTAACACCTAGTCATTTGGGATCATTCGTATTATCTCAC